TGTTTGTGAAACTTTCACCTGTCACCGGTGTTGGACGGGCACTCAGAGTGAAGAAGCTGAGCCCGCGTTATATTGGGCCATACCAGATCCTTGGTAGAGTAGGACTTGTTGCCTCCCGGCTTGCCTTGCCTCCGAACTTGGCCAACATCCACAACGTGTTTCACGTGTCTCAGCTTCGCAATTATGTAGCGGATCCTTCGCACATGGTGCAACCGGATGATGTGGAGGTTCGGGAGAACTTGAAAACTCCTGTCGGATCACTCAAGATTCTCGATCGTGGCGAGAAGCAGCTGAGGAGCAAGATCGATCTGATGGTCAAAGTGCAATGGTCAGGAAGAACTCCTGAGGAGTGTACCTGGGAGCGAGCGGACGAGCTTCTCCGGCAGTGTCCCGATTTTCGAGACAGGTATATTCTGATTTTGAGGACAAAATCCTAAAAAGTTGGGGTGAATGTAAGAACTCGCATCGTTAATTAATTAATTAAGTGAAATTAGAAAATAATTCCATAATTGACCCTAATAAATATTATGAGGCTTTAATGATTGTAGTAAGTGAGTAATAATGTTGGAAGCCGATTTTCTGACGAAAAGTGCAGATACCGGTTATGCTAGTCGGTATAAATGCGTACTGATGAAGTATCCCGAAAAATTATATTGAGTGGATGAATATTCCTAGAATAATATGTAGGACTTTGATTTCAAGTTTCAAGTTAAAATAATGAGAACTGGTGACAGAACTGATACTGGTTATGGAAAAGCGCGTACCGAAAAGGTGCTGCAAAAAATAAAATAAAAAAAATAAAAAATCTTGTAAAATTGAGTAGGTTCAGAATCCTAAGTTTGGGATTAAAATGCTAAGCATAGCAATTAATGTTAATATTGTGTGTTTAAGTGTTAAACCGCTATAAATAGACTTGCTTGGACCAAAAACCTAGGCCATACATTCAGAATACGTGGGTTGGTGGCTGACCAACTCTTCCTTGTATTGTTCCATTGCCTCTTCTTCATTTCTTGAGCCAAGTTTTCACCTTTTCTTGATTCTTCATCAATAAACACTTGAGCCTTGTGTGAGTGGGCATTGCGAGGGTGTGAGGGTACTTCATTCTCTGTGTTGAACCTTTGTGAGTGTCGGGTAGGGGCTGACTTCATACTGAGGGTTAAAGAAACCATTGTTATGGTGTTTTGAGGTTCAAGGAGTGACCTTTAGTGTGAAAGAACCATTCTTGATCATCATTTTTGTGTCCTTGTGGGTGCTGGACTTTGGGAGCTTCAAGTGAGCTCCAAGAGCATCATCCTTTGCTGTTTTGAGCTTGTGGTATGATCATCATCTTTGTGCTTGAGTTTCCTTGTTAAAAATGAAACCTTGATGCATGTAATGGATTAAAGTTCATAACTTAAGGTTGGGTAATGTTAAACACACCTTAAATCGCATGTTTGAGCTTCTGTATGCATGAAATGAACCACCTATGGGAAGGATGTCTCGCGAAATGCAGAACTGCATTCTGTCACGAAATATCCGGATATGGGGTCTGTTGATATCCGAATATGGATATCCGGATATACATATCCGGATACGCCCCCAACAAATATCCGGATATTCTGGGTTTTCAAGGACAATAACTGTACTGTTCATACAGAACTGAGTTATGGGTTTGTGGACCCTAGATTGATGAAGTTGAACTTCTGTAATGATTAAGTTAAGTCAGAATCAAGGGATTAAGGGCTTGTGGCTTTGTGAGAAGCCTTAAGACGTAAAACGCAAAAGAGAAACGTTGTTTTTATGTTTATGCTTATGAGCTATGTTTATTGATATGATTGTTGGTCCAAATCAGATTGTGATTCTACTGTGTTTGGATTTTGAGCATTGGTTGGACTCTTGGCTTGGATTGTTAGCTTGCAAGGTAAGTTTTCGTGTCCTCGGTTTAGCCATTGTTGGTTCCACCATGTTCCATGGGGGTATGGTTATATGCATGATGTGTTACATGCTTTGATATTTGAAATGCTTTTGAGCTGTTAAGTGCAAATGCTTATGATATGTATGTGGTGTTCACCCGATGGGATGTGATCCTAAGGGTAGGTACGGCAGAGCGCGTACTGTGTGAGTAATAGACGTATTCCTGCATTTCTCTGGCCAGTAGATTATAGTATTGACACACATGACATGATTATCTGTCATTTTGCACTATTTATGAAATAATGTTGATAAACTTCTTTTGAACTTATATTGCACATGTAAGTGAGCTTGGGGTGGAAGATCCGTGAGGACCCCTTGTCTTACTGAGATTTCTTGTTTAGAGATCTCACCCCACGTTTGGGGACGCTTATTTCAGGTTTAGGTAACTTGGGGGCTGATGCCTCTGGCGGCAGGAGGCCGGAGCTTAGTTGATGATTATTGCTGTTTATATGCTGACATGTTTGGATGCTGGATATATCTGTTGATGTTATGTTTTTAGCTTGCTTTTAGTATGTTGCTGTTGTTGAGACTTTTGTTGGGCTTTGTTGCCTTATTTGGGTGAGCATGGGGATTGTCCATGCCACTTTGATTTCTATTATGTTTAAGTTTAACTGAGTTGTATAAACTATCAGGGTTGTCCGGTCTACGTGTTGTAGTTCCGTGACTAGAGACTTATATATGTTATTTAATTAAAGAGGTATTTCAGTTAGCTGTCTTTTGCAATTTACATACAGGCAATGTTTTGAAAATGATTAAGTAATCAAGTTGGTAATGAATAATGACGTCATAATTGAACAGAAAAATATATTCCGTATTTTTAAATTATGTGTGGCTTAATACGATGATATGATAACAACCGGGTATATACGGGGTGTTACATTGTTATTGGTCCTAACAGATTGTGATTGTGCTGTGTGTGGACTTTGAGCTAGTGTGGACTCTTGGTATTGGATAGTTAGCTTGCAAGGTAAGCTTTCGTGTCCTCGGTTTAGCCATTGTATGTTCCACCATGTCCTATGGGGGGGATGGTTTGTATGCATGATGTGTTTTCATGTATTGTTTTATTGAAATCTTATGGAGCTGTTAAGCAAAATGCTTATGATATGTATGTGGTGTTTCACCTAGCCAGGAAGCCATGGGGTGGTCCTGGGGGCGGGTACAGCATGGGCTGGTACTGTGTGGGTAATAGATGTATTCCTACACTTCTCTGATCAGTAGAATAGTTATAACACACATGACATGAGTATCTGCTGCATTGCACTGGTTTTGGAACTGATATTGAATTACTGCTTTTAGAACTTATATTGCACATGTAAGTGAGCTTGGAGTGAAAGATCCTTGAGGACCCCTTGTCTTACTGAGATTTCTGTTTAGAGATCTCACCCCACGTTTGGGGCGCTTATTTCAGGTTCAGGTAACTTGGGGGCTGATGCCTCTGACAGCAGGAGGCCGGAGCTTAGTTGATTTACATATGTTTTATGCTGACATGACTAGATATTGGATGTTGTTTATGTTTTCTGTCATTATATGATTATTGAACTGAGACTCTTTGTGGGTTTTGTTGCCTTATTTGGTGAGCATGGGGTTTGTCCATGCCACATTAATGATTAGTATGTTATTATTGAGTTGTATAAACTATCAGGGTTTGTCCGGTCTACGTGTTGTAGTTCCGTGGCTAGAGACACATTTATGTCATATATATTTATGAGGTATTTCAGTTAGCTGTCTATTTGCAATTTACATACAGACGATGTTTTGAAATGATTAAGTAATCAAGTTGGTAATTGATAATGACATCATAATTGAAAAGAAAAAAATATTCCGCATTTTAATTAAGCGTGGCTTAATACGATGGCATGTTAACAAACCGGGTATACACGAGGTGTTACATAAAGCCTATATATATATATATATATATATATATATATATATATATATATATATATATATGGGAAAAGTGTGTGTCATTTTAAAGGATGTAAAATTATGTTATTTAAGAGAGATAAAGAGATAGATAAAGGAGGAGAGAGAGTTGACAAAAAAAGTAAAGATGTAGGTCTCACTTCTTTGTGAGAGTGAAATGATATAAGTTGTATAATTTAAAAGGATAAACACTTTTCCCTATATATATATATATACATATATATATAGGGAAAAACTACTCTCATGCTACATGAGATAAGTTTTCTCTCCTACACAACCTTCGATAACTGTGTCACCCTTTTCTTTTCTTTATTTTTTATTTTTTCAGGTGTTGGAGCCCACAAATTTGTCTCTATGACATGAGATAACTTATCTCCTCTAATATGAGATTAATAAAACTCATATATATGTATATATATATATATATATATATATATATATATATATGGGATTTGATTTTCTCATGTTACATGTGAATTCAATTCTCATGTTATGACTCAACTAGTGGTGAACCCCACATTTATTAAAAAAAGAAAAAGAAAAGAAATAATTTGCACGTAAATCGAAGAGTCACAACATGAGGATTGAATTCTCGTGCAACATGAGAAAATATTTTTCATATATATATATATATATATATATATATATATATATATATATATATCATAATATTTATACAAGTGAAAAACTAATGATTCTTTTTAAAATAAAAAGCTATTTAACTCAACGTATATGTAGTATTACTTCTTTTCCTATTTGTTGACTTTCACGGTGCAGGCGCCTGTGAAAAATTATGAACTACAAGGCGTTTTCCATTGACGCAATAAATTGAAAGAAAATTATCATTAAACTAAAGCTGAAATATTTTCGTTTTGCTTAGTAACTAGTGTATTATGTATGAACAAGAAATCTTCCTTAAACCCTTTTCATATATTATCTATTTTTTTATACAATTGAAGTCTAAAAAATGGTGCTAATTGAATTTTTTTTTTTTTAAGTAAAAACAAGTAAACAAAAAATGTGGCTCTATAGAGTTGGAATTCCATGTGAATCCAAAAGAAATGAAAGGGAGTGAAGGTGGTACTTTGAGAAGCTGAAGCCACTCTCAAACTTTGTGGCCTTGTCAGGGTTCACTCTGAGATGGATCAGACCCAATTGTCCAAAGATTAGTCCCCACCCTCCCTCTGTTTATAGGACCCACCATACCCTCTCCCTTCTCCTCCACATTCACCACATCAATTACACACTACATCCCCATTCCCTTCCCCTTCCCCCATTCTCTTCCTTCTCATACCTTCTCCACACATCCTTTTCCTCTCCTCCAAGGTTTCTACACAACACAAACACATACCCTTTATATAAAACCTACCTCTTCCCTCACCTCATCAATGGACAAGACTGAGAGAGAAACCCATGACTTCATGAACGTTGAATCTTTCTCCCAACTCCCCTTCATCCGTCCTGCACCTCCCGCCCTCAAAGAAAAGGGCATTCGACTCTTCGGCATAGAATTCGGCGGCGTCAACGCCGCCGGTGCAACCGCCGCCGAAGAATCCGAGTCAGCAGAAACAATCACCAACAACAACAACAATGCATTTGAATTTGACAGCAACAAGGACAACAATAATAACAACAACACGGAGAACGGAGAGAGTAGCCGCAGATTCGAATGCCATTACTGTTGCAGAAACTTCCCTACTTCTCAAGCCTTAGGTGGTCACCAAAACGCACACAAAAGAGAACGCCAACATGCAAAACGACAACACCTTCAATCAGCCATGGTTCACAGTACTTTCTCCGATGCACAAGTTTATGGCCTCATGAACTATAGGTTCAACTCAGCTCCAACAACTACACTACCATATCCAATGTGGAATAGCACCACCACCACCTCAAGTGCCACCATAACCACAAATAATGGTGGTGGAAGGTTTTATGGAAGCCATGGAAATGGAACCTCTTATTCTCACCATCAACAAGAACCCATCAATGGAAGCCCCTTGGCCTTTTGGCGAATCCCCAATGGCACAACCCTTCAGAGTAACCCTAGTTTCAACCATGAACAACGATCGTTGCATCAGCATCATCATCATCATCATCCTCCATTACCCTTGTTTTCTGGCGAGGAAATGAATAATAATAATAACAACATGAGGATCTCACAAGTTGGAGGAGCTTCTGGTTCTTCACAAAACCGCTACGTTTATGACTCAAAACGCAGCGTTCAAGACCATGTGAGTTTGGATCTTCATCTGTAATAACATTTTCAATTATTCATACAAAATATTATCACCAAATAACTTATCATCATGAGAAATTATGAGAAATTTCCTCCCTTTACAATGGAAGAATTTGCCTCTAATTTTTTTCCCCCCTTACGTTAACAGTTGATTTTCAGATACATATGTTATATGTGGTTTAATTAAAATCCATTTAAATGAAACTTATAGATTTAAATGATTATATCTTATTTTTCTACTTTTTTATTATTTAATTTTTTTTATACCAATCCTAGTTACTTCTTTGAAATGAGAAGGCTCCTCCGGATATCCTACATGTTTCGGCTCTTTAAGTCGGCTGGAATTAATTCCGAATGTAGGGAAGATCAAGAATTAAGGTTTTATATATACCCCTCCCCAAAATAACATTCACGGGATTGAATTGAAGTCCTTCCCAAGTTTTCTAACCATAAAGCATTGGTCTTTGGTTGCTATTTGATTTTAAATTATGAAATTAAGCCTGTGGAATATAATAGATTGATTACAAATTTATATGTATAGTCACACGTCATCGTTCGTTCTTGGCCTGAACTGAGAAAACTGTCTCACACGTGTGGGGAATGGTGTAAGTAAAGGGTATTATGAGACAGTTGAGGGCGCGCATGAACATTTTGTCGAAACACACGTGTGGCTAAATCCATGATATATTGTGGAGGCAGGTGGGGTGATGAGAGAGGTAGGTTCTGATTCAATGCATTGTAATTGTGAAAGGTCATGATAAGGTTTGATGGTCTGCTCAATTTTTGCAGAAAAGAAAGTGATATTTCCATGCCAATAGCAGGCACCATTGCTCCCCCCAAATTAATTTCAAAATATACATTATGTCTAGATGCTCATTTTGTTTTCAGTCACTTATTTCCATTGCAAATTGTAGAGTGAGAATGACAGGTATATGAATATTAAGATAAATTAATATCTTTCTATCTATATATATACATAGAGAGGGGGGTTGGGTCAAAAAAAATTTATTCCTCCCCTTAATCATCGATTATCCCATTAATTCAATTTGAATTGGACAGATCACTAGAGTGAAAAACTCTTCTTATTAAGTAATTTTAGTACAATTCTATATTTAAGATTGGTTCGAACACGAGACCCCTAGTTAAAATGAATAATAGATGTGTTAATGGATGAACCGGTAGAGAAATCTAACTATTATATATATATATATATATATATATGTGTGTGGGTTTCATGTTTATCATGTAACATGATATAACATCACTTTCCTACACACACATTAAAGAGGTGGGGTCCACATATTTTTTTTTCTCTTTCATCATTCCACTTTCTCTCTCCATTTTTTTGTGTGTGTTAGAAACAACACTTAAATCATGTAACATAACACTAATAAAACCCTATATATATTGTGTCTATATATGATCTACATAATATTATCTCTTTTTTGTCTACCTAAGATTCAAGGTGGAACCTCCTCCTGTGAGACCTAGGGTTTAAAAATTCACACACACTTTCATATTCTAGTGTTCGCTCTCTATGAATCAATAAATGGAAGAAGGAACATGTTCTGTAAGAGCATGTTTGTTCAAGGACATGTTGTTGTTTTTTCTGTTGTTCACTATTGTAATTTAGTTTGACCCCAGTTGACTCAATTGGCTGGAGATTGAGCAAAGTGGTCCTGAAGTTAGAAAATTTGCCAGTGTTATTGTAGAGGATGCAACGGGGGCGAACCGGAGTAGTGGTAAAACTGTTCCTTCATGACTGAAAGGTCATGGGTTCGAATCCAGGAAACAGTTTCTTTGCAATTATGCAAGGGTAAGGCTGCGTACAAGGATTTCCTCCACCCCACACTCGCTAGTCGGGTTTAACGGGAAGTGATTTTTTTTTTTTTTTTTTGTTATTGTAGAGGTAGAATTATTTTGATGCATGTAATGAGTATTGGGTAATCATTCAAAATTGAAGTGTCAAGAGTCAATAATTACTTATAAGTTGATGAATTAATGCTCTTGACCCACAAGTAGAGGAAAACATGGGTCACTTCTTTTATGGCTTGTTTACAACAAAACACAAATCTCATCATTCAAAAGTGGTACCAAGAGGGCTTTCATGGGTTTAAATTGGGAAAACCAACCCTCAGAAAAGGATGTGTCTTCCTTGCTCTCAGAGACTTTAAGGAAAATATGAACATGGTAGTTAGACTGCCATCTTTATTTTCCCATCTTCTGTACCATTGCTTTTATGTCTTATACACAGAAAGAGAGAGAGAGAAAAAGATGTTAGGTGGGTTAGTTTTTTGTGGTGAGTTAGAAATGTGGGACTTGGAGATTCCTTCTCTAGGGAAAGAGGGATGAAGTGTTCACCTTAACAATAATAGACTGATAGTTAGTACTGATGCTTCTCTGTATAGTGTATACTTTAATCATCTGTTATTTTGGCTGCACAAAGGGTCAGAGATTTAATTGCAACAATTGACACTATCCAATATATTACCTTACCTATAAAATTCAGAGAAAAATGCAATCAAACACACACACACATGTTAAAGGTCCATTCTCCTCAAAACTGTTGGGGACATCCGATTTGACTGGCAATACCAATATGCAGACAAGTCTCTTAATTCCCTCTTTAATTTAATTTCTCCTCATTAAAAAAATGAAAGAAACCACATCAATGGCAATAAAAACTTAAACCCGTTTGTGAGGTGACTGGTAAGCAATAAATTTGATTAATTCCATAGTCAATATTGAGCCTCTAATTAAATTAACAAGGTGAATATGCTCAAACTGATTAATTATATAACAAATCATCAAGACTTGCTTAATATATTGTTACTACCAAGCACATGAATTAACTGCTAAAGGATTGTTCCAACTTAATCAGCGGTCTCGAGTTTGAGTTCTAGGTACGCAGTTGTGTTAAAAATTTGATAAGAAGAATTTTGATGCCCTTGTAATCCTACCACCTGGACTGGATTAATTGATTAATTGGTAGTATATTGTCATTCATCATGTCACCTATTCCCTCCTTCTAACCATGTGCTTGCACCTCAAATGAAATTAAAAAAAGAAACAGCACTCACTGATCATCACTACAAAAAACACGTCGTTTAGCCACATTTATAAATGTGGCAAAATGTAACAAAAAACGTGGCTAAAAAAAACTACCACATTTTTGCGAAATGTGGCTAATCCTGGCGTGGCATTTATTTAGCCACATTTTTCTTTTCACTTTGCTACTGCTGTCATGAGTGTGGTAGCATTATTTTGGCCACGATTTTTGTGACATTAGCCACGTTAATAATGTGGCTAATTTGTAAGGAGAGAACAAAAAAAAAATACATTTTTATTTTTTTATAATATTTCACTACCCAAATTATAATTTTTTTTTTATACATAAATGATCCATAATAGCAATCTATTAATAAAACAAAAACAAGAAGAAAAATACAAATTGCAGGCATCCAAACTAATATAGAAAATATTTTAGCAATGAGAGATATTTCATATGCTCAATCAGTATTACTCATTCAAACTAACAGTTGAAACATTCCAAATTAGGTTACCAACAAGGGCTAAAGACAAATATATGAACATTAATCTTGGGGGCAAAATGACAGTATTACAACATAATGTTCAATACCATAAATGATAATCTTGGGGCCAATTCTTTTACAGATTTCTCAAAGATTTTCACAGGATTGAGAAAATTCAATTCACCAGTGAAAAAGGAAGACCTACGCAGACACCATGATTAAGGAAGCAAATACCATATAAAGGATGGTCTCATAATCATGATGATCGCCATATAAAAATTGAGGTATACTAAAAAGTACAAACAAATATAACAGACCCGTACCGAAAGGGTACCTATGTACAATGTAAGCTTATTCATATCAACCTAAGACACCCTAAGCCTCCCCCTTGTGAGCCTGCAATCTTTGTATTAGAGAATACGAAGCAGCACAGAGATCCGAGAAAACAAATTGCAGGCTCTGGACCCTTTGAAGATCAAACAGATACTTTTCCTCATGAGTTTTGTAAAGCTGTCAAAGATATTAACAGAGTTTGAGAATATTATGAAATTGGTTTTTAAATTCATATGAAATTGGTTTGTAAAGCAGTCAGAGAGAGAGAGAGAGAGAAGAAGAAGAAGCACCTGGTGACCCATAGGAATAGAAATACGGCAATCACAGGCGCGGCTACCCATAAGGCACTATATATACAGAAGAACAAGTTAGAGTTTATTAAATTGGTTTTTAATTCATATGAATAGTTTCTTATGAATTAAGAACATAAGAAAATTATATATATACTCAATCAAACAACTATTCATAAGCTCATAGTTGCTTATGAATAGTCCAAATTATATATTTTTTTTTCACATCAAAACTTCAGAATATTTCAGTAGTAAGTTTGTTCCAAAATTAAGAACATAGAAAGTTTCAGAGTAAGAATTAGTAACAGAAGATTGCTAATTTTTTCTACTCCTTTTAAAACCAGATACATATGAAAAAGAATGCTCTCATTGAGAAAGCATCATTCTTTTAGTTTAAACTAGAAAAAAAATAAAAAAAAATAAAAGATATGAAGTTAAATAAAGCTGACCAACGACTAAATCTTTTCTGGCTAATGCATTGAATTCTTTGAGGCGTATGTACCCAACATGAGTAGCACCACTGTCTGTTTGTTCCATGCCGATAAAAGACTGGTGTACGTGCAACAAGTTGCCGCTGGACTTCTATTGATTCGGCCGTTTTTAGTGATTAACTTTTACCAGAGACAAAGACCTTTGAAAACTATAAATCCTACCTGCATGCAATAAACAAGATACCAAAAAAAAAGTCCCTCTTCAATCACCGGCATCTGATGAAAAAATTCGTGTAATTCATTCCCCCATTAACATAAATCAACTTAATTAATAAACTAAATTATAGAAATTTGGTCATATGTAACTTAATTAATAAGCATATTTTAATTAATAAGCTTAATTAATAATCTTTCACATAATATTCTGATTGACAAAATAAATCAACATACAAATACAC